TAAAAAAAAAAAACACAAATGATAAATTTATCCCAAAATACAATTAAAGCCTCTAATAAAACATCACCTCATCTCTTATGCATTGTAATTAGATATAGAGTTGGATATTAGTTGTGTATTTTTTAAAAATAAATATGGAGTACAAAGTAATGTGTTGTTATATTTCATACATAGCTCAACTACTCGCTTTAAATTTGTTGAATGTTAATGAAGTTATTATCGAGCTCAAAAAACCTAATCAAATTTTAGTTGATTGTTGGACAAGTAGTACGTCCGATTTACCAGACATGCGATCGACAATGTGGATTGCTTAACACCACTATGCACACATAATGGCGTGATCAGCATCGTTGTTCGTGCATTCGGACAAGTAATGAAATCTTTCCACTTATTAATTTGCTGAAATAATGTCTATAATAGATTCCTCCAATGTGGCATGACTGAGATGGCTTAATTTTTTTTTTTTTTTTTTTTTTTTTTTTTGTGACAGCTCCCAGTCCTGATGAGAGCTCGACCAAAGGGGTAGATCGTTATTAAATTGGCATCAACAATTAATAAAATATTATCGTTAGCAATATATAAATAAGTATTTCAAGATTCGATTTGAGTGGAGACATCAGATTTCAATCAAGTGATGTAAATATTATTGTAGTACGTACATGTTAAATATTATTAATTGATGTAATCATGCGCGGCTAATAAAATTTGTTCAAATCGGAACAGATTATTGAGCCGAAATGCTATCTTTTACAGATGACGTCTAAAAGGTGGCATTTACTATATTTATAAACAAGACTTTGCTCCATTCGATTCCAGCAGAGACATCGGAATCAGGATGTCGATTTCAAGTCATTAACGATGAGAAGTGTTGATATATATTTTATGAGCAGGAAATTTCTTATGATTGCATCATTCCATGAAAAAATGTTATTCAATTTATATTAATAATTGAGTAATCATGTATTATTATTATTCCTATGAAAAAAAAAAATTTTTGCTTTGCTCAAGATTATGCAGGTTCATTGGATTTTTATTCATCCGGGAGGGAAGCGGTGCGTGAATTGGGCTGGTAAAGAAGGTTGGTGACTCGAGAATTCAATTTCTCAGTTAGAATTCCTCTGGAATTAGCCGCTTGATTAAAGGTGATTGCTTAGATATTCCTTATATTCACATTAATAATGATTTCTGAGGTTTTAATTGTGCGAGTTGTACTTGTGATCAGTGGTTCTTAGGTTTTTATTTTTTGGGTGAGTTGTAAAGGTGGTGATTTCTAGTAGAATTATCGGTTGCAATCCCCAATAAAATATTTTTGGTGCAATAAAATTTTCTCCAGACTCATAAAAAAAAAAAAAAAAAAACGCACACACACACACACGTCTACAAATATGTTATCACGAATCTCAAAGCAGATGTACGGCTCAAGAAAAATATGGGGGCGATCAAGCATAGCCTTAGATAATTGTTTCCGGATGAATATTGGCAAAGGAAGTCATGTCCGAATAATCAACAGAAGACCCCAGAAGGAACTTCCACAAGGCGGTAATCAATCACCAGGACGATCGACGGGGAGCACTCTTTCAGACTATATACGATCGAATCAAGGTTTGTCACGCAATCAACTATCCTTTGAATCGGCTCCTGGTCTTATGATATATAAATAACCACAAAGCCTCCCTCTGAAAAAGTTAATAATGAGGGGGGCTAATATGTAATTTTATAATATTGAGATCTAAGCCTATAAATAGAAGGTTCATATCATGAATATGACACCCTCTTTTTTCCTTCCACTACTTATCTCTCTCTATATATCATGAATATTATTTGGATGTGTAATCGGCGCCATAACATATCATGTTGTTGTGCACATGACGTGATAAGATCCAAGTTATCATCGACACAATCAGACAACACCTATAATATTTTTCCTAACAGATGAGCCAAAATGTTCTATTATAGATTCCTAAAGTGTGGCACGATGGAGATGGGCAGACAAACAGATTATAAAATATTATTGTTTATTATATATAAATATATGTTACAAGATTCGATTTGAGTGGAGACATCATTCAATCAAGCCATCTAGTCAGGTTGCCCTTCTAATGCACTAGGCTTGACACGTGTTGATATTTTTTTGGTATAAATTTATTAATAAGAAATAATACAATATTGTATGAACTTACGTCATTAAATTTGTATCAAAAATTAAATAATTTTGATTTCCTTATAAAATTAAAAAGCAATAATTTGTGCTGACATATTTAGAATGAAAGGATTATTATTAAAGAAAATATTTTCTTAATTAATATTATCACAAAACGGTCTATTAGGGCCAATTACATGCACACCATCCAAAACATGTTATTTACAAATTAACCATCTTCTTTCATCTACTTTTCAAATTCTTACTCGCATGTCAAAATTTATTGTAAAACCCCAACCCATATTTTTCTTTTTTATCAAAATTCGTGGAAGTTCAACTGCTACTATAACTTCTACGACCAATTAACACTATTACAACCACAAATTATAGTTCATATGACAAAATATTGTCATTGAAGCAAATAACTATGGTCTTTGCGGCCAACTATCGCTATTATTATCAAGAAATAAATTTATTGTTGTTCAATTAAGACTATTATATGTATGTAATTATCAACATTATAATTCTATTCTTTCTTATTCAGAAGAACATTAGACCTATGTACTTAATTACGATCATATAGTACATCACTTTGACTGGACTAAGTCCAATGTTTTTTTTTCTTTTCCATGTAAAAAATCTTGATGTCTGATCTTGCTATGTTTCTATTTTTATGTGTGTGTTGGATCTTCGTGCAACACTAAGACATTAAATATAACTTCACTATTATGAATCTTCTGACACACGACAATAAAGATTATATGAGAAGAGTAAGAAAACATATTTCACTTAGATATATGGAAATATTATTTGTGTGGGGTGGCGAAGACAAATCATTAGATTATGAACAATTTATTTATGCATTTTTACATGCAAATAATAGACAATGGTAATTTTTGTTATGCATTTAATATATATTATGTCTGCATAAGAAAAGGTGTTTGTGTTGATATTATAGGGATCTAACAGTCGAAAATAAAAGAATGCGATGGAAAATTTGCAATAAAGAGATTGTAAGGCTCACTAGCCCTACTGAGACAAGCAGGACAAGTCAAACCAATTCAACCAAAGCTAACCAAACCCAAAAGTTGATAGGAGAATGGCTAATCAATTCCGATAGAGCAACTCGGCTAAAAATTAACCAGAAGGATGTCTAAATCTTTAAACTATAGTCGGCTGACCCGAGACAACAATTTGTCCCGCAGGAAACCGAACCGTTGAGAAGGTCAATTCCATAAATATCTTCAGATGTCTCGTCGGTATCAAGACTATTCGTTGGAGATTGAACCTCCAAAATATCACCCAAACTGAATCAATCAAGCTAAACTGAACAAGCCAGGCCAGCCCAGCTAAGACTACGCGGCTCATTTATTAAACTTAAAAGGTCCTGAAATAGAGAGCTGTGCACGTTGTAGTACGTACATGTTAAATATCATTAATTTATGTAATCATGCATGGCTAATAAATTTATTTGAAAAGATAACTGAGCCGAAATGCTATCTTTGACAGATCACGTCTAAGAGGTGTCTTTGCATGCAAACATATAAAAGATTATTAATCGCCATCATCATTTGATAAATTACTATACTTTTTTATTTAATATTTTTCAAAGAAAATTTTGTTCCGTTCGATTCCAGTAGAGACAATTTATATATCAAGTCATCAAATCAGGATGTCAATTTCAGGTCATTAACAAAGAGACGTGTCAATATAAGTTTTATAAGCAGAAAATTTCTTATGATTACATCATTCCATGAAAAAACGCTATTAAATTTATATCAATAATTGAATAATTTTGGTTTATTTTAAAATAAACATTGTGGTGCTGGTATTCATTTGTGTGGATGAAAATTTTTTATGTCGCACAAAATTGTGGATGCATAGAGAAATAAAGCTCTCATTAAGGAAAAAATATTGCATACGGACGCCGCATGCGGTGTCCGATCTGCACCGTTGATCACAGTGATCTACGGTCAGCATGTATTTTGGTGGGCCCCACTTTAATTTTTTTTAATTTTTTATTTAAAAAAAATTGATTGTATTATCACCGTTGATCACCGTGATCTATGGTGTAGATCGGACACCGCATGCATCTCTGCATGCGATGTTCGTATGCAATATTTTTTCCTCTTTAAGTCCTGCAAGAATTTTAAAAAAAAGCAAATTGAAAAATCATAGTGGCATATAGCACAACCGAAAATCAGGATTTTTTCAATAAATAGAAAAATAAATAAAATTATTACCAATCAAGTATATTTTTAAATGATATATATATATATATATGTTTAATTATTAAATATACATATGAATTAAGTGGTAATGCATGTATGTATATCTTCCTTGAGTTTTTATTTTATTTTTGTGGGCACCGATTGAATGGGAGACCAAGACGATCGCCTGACCGGCCTCCTCAGCACTTTGGCTTGCTGTGATTTGAAGGAAATGAAAATAATAATAGTAAGTTTTAATCTTTAGTTGCCGAATTAACTAATTTAATTAAATAAAATAACAGTTTTTATAATTTTGTTCTATCAGCATCAAGTTCAAGATGTAACTAAGCATGGGAAAAGTTTTTACCTCCAAAATCTTAAATAAATTAGATGACTTTTACAATTTCATCCCAAAACTTCTTAAGATTTAAAAATCTCACCAAATTTATTTCATAAAACTATGCTTATTTATAACAACACAATACTGTCAATACCTTCACAGGCTATAAAACAAAGATATTGAACAAAGTTCTGAATTTGGCTCCAAGCAAGATCATCATACAGTACTTTAGAATTGAATCTATTTACATAAAACTTTAGTAAATGTATAATAGAACGAAATGAAGGCATAATTTCATAACTTCATAGTCATCAGCTTCAGGCTGGCAATATCTCCTAGCTGAAGAAAATTACATTGAAAATTATAAAATTATGTGCTGTTTGAAGATTTACACGAGTATATGATAGATTTACCTTAGTTTAATGGCTGGTTGTTGCCCGTAAGTAGATTTGCTTGAAGAAAGCTTCGAGAATCAAATGGAGGCATGGCTTCATACTCATTTCTTGTTGAGGGCAACATTCTCATTTGCTGCTGCTGCTGCTGCTGCTGCTGCTGCTGTAGTCTTTCATTTTCAGCAATCTGAATCATCTTGCAGCAAAATAAAGAATTTTTCATTTATTGCTATGTATAATTTAATGTATCGATACCGATTCAGTCATAAGCTTGAAATCAAGAAAAATGTTGTAAAACATAAAATAGACCTTATTTCGAAGGTACATGTTATCATTTTGCAGCTCCATCTCCTGCAAAGCAGAAACAAACACATTTCAGATTCAGAAGCTGCTGCTTCTAGCATTCTTCATTTTCTAGATTTCATTATTCTAAAAAATAATTTTTAACTAATCATGAGACGTTCCCCATCCAAATTCTTTAAGTCGGAGCTTTTGTTAAGAATTTTAGGGCAAAGAAGAATATGAATCGACATAAATCCTGAAGAAAACAAAGAGATTTAACGAAGTTCGGCAAAAATGTCTACGTCCTCGGAAGCAGCGCGGCGACTTTTCTTCAATTCAGAAAAAGAATACATAATACAATAGGTAGGGCTACAAACAAGCATATATATATAACTGTGGAGTACAATATGTAATTACAAAATTATCCCTGCACCACTTCGCTTGCGAGCTTCGCTTTGCTGGCTCACACCGTTCCGCTCCAGCATCTATCCCTCATCTGGTATATGAGGCATACCTAATAGTTTTGTATTCTTTTCAGTTGTTATCTTGTTAGCCACTGTAATTCTGAGTTGTGGGAGTGGCACCTCGAGAATAAGTACAACTTTGTACATCAGAGCATACGAAATAGACTATGTCAAAAGTTTTGTACTATGTTCTATAGTCTTTCCCAAAACTTCTAGCAACTGTTCGTGCTACTGTTTCTTATTATCATCTAGTGTCTTCTTCTATATATTCTATTAATCTTTTGCAAAATGCTTTTTTCTTAAAAAAAAAAAAAAAAAAAAAAAAAACCAAAAAACTCGGGGTGGATATAATGCTTCTTTTTGTTACCTTTTTATGCATGTACTCGATCTCAGCGTACAGCAACTCATTCTGATACAAACAAGAACATTTAAACATTATTTTTTTACTAAGCTGAATACATTAATTTTTCTAAAAAACAAGGAGCTAACCTTTCTAGATCTTATTTTGTTTATGGCTTTCTCCAGTCTAGCTTCCAGTTGTTTAAGTTCCCTTAAATTCATGGTGCTCAGAGCCTCCCCCATCAAATTTCTGCAGAAATTAATGGATTCTTTAACACATGCAGTTTATAGATGGAGAATAAAGAAGTGGACTTTACGTGTTTATTACCTGTTGGAGGTCTGTAAATCAGTGATTTGCTGAAGAAGTTTTGAGGCTTCATGCTGGTAATACTGTCAGGTCAAACAATAATTCTATGATAATGCATTGATCGTAAAAATAATGTGTTGGATTGGTAAATAAATGATAATGCATTAATCGTAAAAATAATTTTATTAACTTGTTGATGATACATACTTTCTTACAAAAATCTAGTTTGATCAAATTTTTATGAATGTAATCATCTAAGTGGTCTCTATGTTTTGAATATTCTAATAAAACAAGTATTATTATTATTATTATTATTATTATTTCAATAGCATTTTCTCTTTAAAAGTTCATTTATTTGATAAATCTTTTTTTTTTGTTGTTAAGATCTTTTTTTAGCAAACCTTTTTCTAATTAGTTTTCATGGAACATGTACTTCAAGCCTTTGAAAGCTAGAGTCCCTACAAAAATTAATGTTACTCATAATTTTTTTAAATGAAATTTAGATTGATATTGCACAAAGATACCCATGGAAAAATGTGATATTTGAGAGAGCCCAAGATTCTACTTTCATTATCATTTGTTTTGTCATAATATTCAAATTAGAAAAAATTAGGCCAAAAAAGACTGCCAATCAGAACAATCTAATAATAATAATAACAATAATAATAAATAATAATAAATAAAAACCATAACAATCTAATTATACCACTCTAGCTAACTCTGCATTACTGCAGATAAATGCAATACCTAAGTCCAAATCAAAATAGAGGCTTCCTTACTCTCTTTATTTAAGATTTCTAATAACTTAATTAATCCTTCCTTTAACATTAAAAATGTAGGGTACATTACTTAAGTTGAATTAAGTCTCTCACTAGACTTCAAGATGTTTTTTAAAATCATCAAAATTTGAATTTGATTATTTGTTTTTTTTTTTTATTGATGGTCACTGGCATTTAATTGCTTGTTATTTTTTCTACAATTTATTTGAAAAGCAACTCTACCATTCGAGTAGTTCACTTATCAATTCAGCAAAGTCAAGAGAACCTCACTATGGCTTATTATCAATCTCCAAATACTAATTTCTCTTTGAAGGTTATTCCACTTCCTCTTTCCACTCCTGAACATGTCTATAACACATATGCTATCACATTTGCTATTGTAACTTGTAATGCTACAACAATATTTAAGTCAATTCATCTCTTAGTAGCTTTAGATACATTTGAAGATTAGCCATCTTAGTGTGACCTAGAGCAGGTGACCTCTGCCACTTTGAGTAATTGATCTAATAAAAAAGTTCTGATAGAGGAATCTCAATTCTACTCTCCTAATATTAGAATTGGTTGTAACAAGATTAAGAAAAAAAAAGTTCATGTTAAAGGGCTCATCTTGCTAGATTTTTCTCCATATTATTTCTATTCTATGAAGCATCTAAAAGAAAATTAGAGTATTGATGGATATGCCTTTCTCATTTTTTTTCTTTTACTTAGCCTTTTCTAGCCTCCTTTTGTAATTATCATTTATATTAACTATAATTATTTTTCTTTTTAGAAAATAGAAAACTTCTCATATCATTTTTATTCAAACATGCATACATTTTATGTTTGCATTCTATTTTAGCATATGGTTTTGATTGTTTTTCTCTACATGCTTTTAATATCTCTTGCGATTTTCTTCTACTATTATGAAACCTTATTCTTTTTTTATGTCAACAATAAAAATTAAAAAGAAAATAACCTAATAGGTTAATGTGGGAAAATGGTAGAAGATAATAAACCAACAGCTAAATTGAAGAAGAGATTAGATTGTAGAAAAGATTATGGAGCAAAATGATTATATTAGAGAGCTCTTAAAATAAATAGTTATATAAAAAATGTTGTAAAATATAGTGAAAAGTTAACATAAAGAAAATATAGACTTGTGTAAGTTGAGCAGTAGAAAAAGTTAACAAAATATAAATAGAATTGAAAACGTATGAAACAAGGGAGACACAAATTTTGCAAATCAAATTTGAAAAGAGAAAGGTGCAAATCAAATTTGAAAATATTTTTATAATAAAGTATGCTAAAGTTCAATTAGAATATCTTCAAATGAGACACAAATTTTGCTTACGAGTTATCCAACCATTATTTCATTTAAAATACTTCTTGATCCTTCCTTCTTAAGTTTCTTTTGTCCCATTCTCTTTTTTCTACTTGTTTCCTCGAAAGAAGATATAATAGCTATAACTAATAAGATCAAATTGTTGGCATCACGTTTTGATGTCGCAAGTGTGAGATGTCCACTCGAATGCTACATGGCTATATTTCACTCACTAGCTGTCTCCCGTAATCCAAGACATCCTTTAGGACCTCTTGGTACGTGTTTTGAGCATGAAACTAGTATTGGTACCGATTCAGCCTTACCAGGGAGAGCTCACTGTTGGGTGATGATAATTATGACACGAGGCACATTTATGTTCATTTTATTGTTAAAGACTATGCTCATCCATTCGGAGCCTTTCGTGGTCAAGGTTTGTCACATAACCCTCCCACGCATATTTCGAAAAAATTAAGGTTCAGACTGATACACTCACGCGCTAGTCAGGGATACCCATAGGCACTAAAATCCCTGATTCAAAACCTCTAAAATATTTATTTTTTAATTTATGAGGTCATATTTTAGTGATATGTGGTTTCTCGTAGCTTCCAAATTAGTAAAAACCTTTCAACAGACGTCCAAACTTAACATTAGGATTTGGACCATATCGATCGTACTATGTCATGACCAGTGATTTTTATCTAATACGATGCATCCAGATGTTCATTTGAATGCTTGAAGGGCATTTTTCATCTACAAATATCCTTTGATGGTCCGTGGATTAATAAAAGCCACCCGCACAAAATCCTGCTCAAAGAAGGCTAAAATAAATTTTTTAGGGCTCACCGGGCGAATATGCGCCTAGGCGCCCATTCTGGTGCTTATATGCCCAATTTAGGTGCTTAGGCACCCAAGATGCTGCTCCACAAGATTCTACGGAGCATGGGGCGCATATGCGTTCCTATGCGCCCAAAACCATGCTCCAATATATATGTATGTACAAAATTATGTATATATGTATGTATGTATGTATGTATGTATGTATGTATGTACATATGAGCCCAAAATTACATTCATATATACATACATTCATGTATATATGTATGTATGTATGAATGAATGTGTGTATGTGTGTATGTATGTATGTATGTATATATGTATGTATGAATATGTGTGTGTGTGTAGAAGAATATAATACATAAGCATGCAATTAATGGAGCTCTAAATATCCATGAAGGAATTTAATATTACAATTTGTCAAGTTCTTCTAAAATTCTTCAAATAATATTTTAAATAAGAAATTAAGAAATTAAACATAACCAAATTTATGACTTTACATATTAAAAAATCACACCTCTGAATTTGTTTGATTGGTTGATCCTGTGTTGGAATTATCAGTGCTAGCCTTCTTGTATCTTTCAATAGTTCCCTTCACACTATGCCAAAAAAAAAATCAGTAGAAAGTAGTGAGTGTTATGTTTGAACTTAAGCAATTACAAGAGGTTCAATCACTTGGCATTGAGTACAATAAAATAGAAATAAAAATTATTCTTAAAGCAATAAAATAACTGAGATAATGTTTGTGAGATGGCTAACTCAACAACATGACTATTATAATTATTGCCATCAACTTTATTTCAAAATTTATGATCTATATAACCATATAAAATTGCTGCAATCAACTGTAAATAAGTCGTGTATATCATGGATTGGGCTTCGCTTGGCTATATTATAAATTGTTTGTGTTGAGTCTAGCTCAAGCCAATTAAGCTCTCACAATTATGGTTACGCTTGTCATATTTAATTTTTTTAATGATTGTACAAGACTAATACATATATGTTAGAATTAATGATTATATATTTAGGGCTAGTTAAAAAACAAGCAAGAAATTATTAACAAATAATTTTACAAATGGAATCAAATAAGCAATCAAACAATTTTATTATCTAACTAGTTTACACCAATTAAATAAGATATGATATAAGTTGCAACTAAGCTTTCATGTGATTAAATAATAGAAATAAAAATGAAAAAAAAAAATTGCATCAAGTAAATATTTTCATTAATACTATTTTATAATAGGTTACTCTTAAATATATAAATAAAGTTATATTTAATATGATTTTATTTAAATGATATACTACATTGGATATGAGCTTTTATCAAGTTTATAATAAAACATCTAGCAAGTTACTTATCAAACAACAAATAAATATGTTAATAAAAGATATCTTACAAAGTGTTTCTAAGACTTGGTAATTGTTAAAATAATTCTTTTAAGAAAATAAATAAATGTGCAAATGGCTAATCAAATATATATTATTAGAACTTTTTAATGGTTAAAATAGTTTTTTTTTTATGTTAAAAACTAAAACATAGTAACAAAAAATAATGAAAATTATTTTTTTAATGTTCCCTAAGACTTGCTAAATTATCAAAGTCTTTTATTCATTTAATTTTAATTTCTTAATCTATTAAAATTCTTTCAAATTTAAATATATCTCAAACACTAATGAATTCATGTCCGCCTTTTCAAATCATACTGGCAAATGATTCTAAAATATAACTGCATTATCTTTAGCAAACTTCAATGTATCTATCAATTGCTCTTCAAAAACAAAACTAAGAAAGACATCGCACTTACTCGTAACATAGTGGTTGAGGGTATAGTTTCCCGCTGTGAGGTCGTGGATTCGAATTGCGCATTTTCTCTCCTTTCACGAAAAAAAATAGAGGATGACACATAAAGGCTAGAGATTTCTTGAGTGGACCTCCAATGATATTCTTTTCAAATTGTTCCATATAATTTTGTTTCAATTATGTGTGATCTTTCCCAATATGATGATACCGTTTATTGTTTGAGAAAACTAAGATAAGCATGGTTTAATTGGGATTTATTTATAGGACTAAGAGTATAAATTTATTAGATAAAAATTAAATGATGAGATTAATTTTATAAGATATTGTTATTGAATTTAATAGAAATGTTATATTAAATTAGGTAAGAAGCATTAATTATAAAGGACTTTCTCTAAAATCATATGTTTTATGAGAACAAAAGTTTGAGTTTAATTGTGGTTTATTTAAGAATCATGAGAATAGTTAAGAATAAAGCATCCACGGGACAACATGTATCATTCATAATCTTTATAACATTGATATAACTTGTCCCAATACTAGCTAATGTGATAGAGAATCTTAAAGTGACTTAACATTTTTATTTAATGTAAAATTTAATGAAAATAATTTGATTTTATTGGTATATCATTAAGGTATAAACTTTGATAAATTATGGTGTTAATAGTACTTATACTCTTAATAATTTTCTTTTCATGACTTTGTTGATCGATTTTAATTTAACGCTATAGATCTACAAATAACTCTTAGTGTATATAATAATGTCGGTAGCCTTCACTTTGGAGCCTAATTTTTCTTTCTGATGACTATATATAATTTTTTCATTTAATGTCATTTTCAAAGTTAGAGTGATAATATTATGATTGATTTCTATAATTTGAAATTTTTAGTGCTCGTAGCTACTTGCGTTGTTTAAACTTCTAGATCGCTATTTGAATGTTATTCCTAAATATATTTAATAGGGTAGTATGATTGGATGACTCACTTTGACTCTAGTATCAATGGTGTCTTTGCTCTTTTGATTATTTTTATTTTCTTCATTTGGATGTTTATACAAAACCTTCTAGAGTATTTTTATATTTAATTTTTTTTTTTTTAATTTTATATATTGTATGTTGATAGACTTATATATATATATATATATTTGCTTCTATTTAATGAATAAAAATATCATATAAGTAAATTATTTTTCATATTACTGAAAAGTAGAAAGGTACAAGACAACGATCTCAAAGAACCTTCCTCATAATAACTTATAATCTACTCTTAGAACTTAATAAACATTGAAAGAGAATCTTTATAAATACGCTTTAAATGCTTCTCCTTCATTTTAGGAAATTTTAAAAAGTACAAGGAGTTCTTAATGATCTTTTAATTAGCAATAAGTTATTCAATAAAAAGCATGACAAGATTAACAATGGTGTGAATAGTCTTAATAAAGAGAGAATAAAATTGAGTACAAGCTTGATTTTTAATTTTAATCGTTCAAGATGAACTAGTAGAGGAGCACATTAAAAGCCTATTGAATGTGCATAATAGTTTTGTAGTGATTCTTATAATTGTAAGAATCAAGCGAGCCATCATACCGGTATATCGTAGGCAATTTGAACCTCACTAAAATGAGATGCAAGAGAAGAAAAGTTGGTTAAACATGAAAAATTTTAAAACTATGATGAAAAGACAAATGACATTTATTATGGAAACTCTTTTGAACAAGATATTAAATTTCATCTCTTATAACATCGTGAGTTTTACCAAAAAGATGGGTTGAGCCATGTTTAATAATACTGCTAGAACTTGATGTTTTGGTCGAACAACACATCAATGGTAGGTTAAACTGATAATGTCAAGAAGATCTTAGTGAATTTGTGGTAGAAGTGAAACTCCAACATGATGATGAGAAGTTATGTTGATTTTATGTTAGATATAAGTTATCATATTGTAAAAATATATATTATTGGATAGATTCTTAAAAAAGCTAAAGAATTTGAGCTTTTTTTTTCGTTCATGTTAGGCCTGCACAACCTTTGCTTGTTGGAATATACTGTCCTTAATTAAAGAATTAGTTGTTAGCGATTAGACAAGCATTCATAAAAAGCTAAGAAAAGGTTCTCACAATGAGCACCAAATTATTGCATGTTAAGAATTTAAGATGCTATTGTGAGAATTTTAAGTCATAATTTTGCATAACAATCTTTCACCCACAATGATAAACAAGTGAAGGAATACAATAAATACTTGAGATTTTACATGAAAATCCTAAGAAAAACTATAGCCTAGTGCAACCCTACATAAAATGATCCACTGTACAAATAAAATTAGATAGTTCCTCTATTCTTCATAATTATAGAAGATGAGATTATAAACTATTGTAAAAATACTTGACCTCCTATAATTATAATAAATCTAATTGTATTAATGACAGTTAAATGATGTTAGCTAGGCAATGATGGTCTGATCATATTAGTCAAGCAATGGTTGTCAAAAGTTTGATGTTGAATAAATGGACATTGACGGATAGGTGGCAGTAATTAGATATGCAATTGATCAAGTGATAGTAGGGATTAATGATATAATCAGTGCAAATAGTCGGCAGAGCTCTAGAATTTTTCAGATCTTCAAGATCTCTCAAAACATAAGTCCAATTAGTTATTTTCAGGTGAAGAATGTAGTTATATATATAATTTTTAACAATGAAATTTAGAAAAATTTATCCAAAATTCTAAAATATTTTATCAAACAAGTCATATTGATTTGAACGTAAACCTTTCTTCCAACATTTAAGTGCTTTATTGACCTTTGATTAGAGTGAACATGTGCTCATTGGTTTCTCCCTTCAAGAAATTGATTGGATCATAAGTATAAAAAATTTAGAGATTATTTGACCACTCATTTAATGACATGTAATTTTTAACGCTAATTCAACTGCTTGGTTTAAGTTTATTTGAACTCAAATTAGATCACTTTTTTGTCATTAAGTGTGCATTGTTAAGATATTTTGTTCTATAAATTAGTTGGATTTTGAAACCAGATGTTTTCGAATTTAATTTTTAATTTTAAAAATTAAAAATTATATTTGACATGCCACCAATGAATTTCCATCATCTGATATGAATCTCGAGCTATTTTGTTTAGCAAGAAACGTTCAAAATTTGATCAAAAGTCATCCAAAATTCTGATTTTAGCAAGTTGTAGCCAAACTGATTGGCTTGATGAGACAGACTCAACAGAAATAAAAGTAATCCAATCGTCAAATTAATAAATCCTGAACCATGTCATCAAAACTACTTTCAAGAGCTTTATGAGCATAATGCAAAGTCAAATGAATTTCAAATCTATCATGCTTATAGTCAAGTCAAGCGTCTCAATGAGATGAATCCAACGAGCCCAATATTGCTCAATTTTAACATTATTAAGACACTTAAATGCTTATTGAACGTCATCCAATCGAGATAATCTCTTTGGGTCATCCAATCAGAGTGGTCAATATTCATTCCTTATTTGTAACATGGACTCTATAAATAGAGACCAACTCCAACTAACACCGCCCGCCAACTTTGATTGTTGTTGTATCCAACAGCCAACTCCGGACACCGCCTCCAGCTAACTCCAACCACCATATTTCAGCCACATTGACCAACATCGACCGCCACTTGCTCGTTGCAGCAAATTAAACCCTAATGAAATCACAATGTAAGTTGTGAAATTTCAGCATGCTTTGTGGAATGGTGAAGCACCTCACAGACTGTGTAACAACTCATTTTTAATATATATATATAGTGTAATGACGTCTCTTACGGACGGCGTAACAATACACCCTAAATATGGTATAATTATGCCTCTAGAAGACAGTGTAAATACACACTCCAAATATTATGCAATGACACTCCCCAATGGCAATGTATTAATGCACCCAAAATACAATATAATGATGTCTCTTGAAGATGTTGTAACAATGTACCCTAAAGACTGTCACTTTCTCCAAACTCTCAAAGCTTTTGTCTTGCAGCTCCCGACTCCAGCCCTCACGGAGGCCTACTAAAATCATCACAACTCACCACTACGGCATAGGTGACTAACTACAGACTCTGTATTCCAGAACTCTTGCGGTTCTCGACTCTGTCCCCTACGAATTATGGTTGTAATCGCAGTTCACTGTTATAAATGACATATGTGACCAACTAATGCCTACATGACTCACATCATGTTCAGCTCTCGACTCCGACCCCTGCAGCCTACAGACGTCTTCATCGCAACTCACCACTACAAGTTATATGGCCAACTACAACCTATGTGACCCACAACTCACACAACCCACAATAACTAGTCTCTATAGCCTAACGACATTATCGCAACTCTCGCCACGACGGCCTAGTGACCAACTACAGCCTACATGGATTATAACTTCAGCATCTTCCTAATATGTCTCTCGAGGACAACTAATTCTTCTGATGCAACTGACTTCCATGTTCCGCACAGCCAACTACTATTATGGTTGATCAACTATGACATATAAGACAAGCTAAAGCTACGACCACTGTCTATAACAATCATAATGGACTGTTACCTTCATGACAATCAATTATGATCCTTACAACCTACAATCTCCTAGAACTACATTCACAATAGCTAGACTACAGTTATTATCATTGAACTACTATTATATATTTACAATTATAATATATGTATCTCCATCTTACCAAATTCAAGAGAAGTGTGAACATGTGTACTCATCATGCATAGTGAATTATTTCGACTGTGCTAGGCCCCGTGATTTTTTCCCCTTTCCACGATTTTCCACGTTTATAAAAATCAAGCGGTCTCCTCCTGCATGCTCACTTCTCTTTAATTACATGAGTTTTTGTTGGGTTCAATTCAAAACTAATAGCTCATTCATTACTCTACCACCGCGAACATTCTGTCACGCGTCAATATTAAAATTAGTATTTGATTGGTTGAATCTTTTGATGATTTATCAATATATTTATGTATATATGAGATGTTAAAGTAAGATATATATTAATCTGTAATTTTGGATAAGCTTGACATGTATTTATATGTTCTTGTAATGCCCTCTTCTCTCTTTTTCACAAGGACTACCCATGATTTTCTTACAAATTCCACATACAAACAACAGCTGCTGCTATCGTAAATGCATGCTTGCACCCAATACATGCAAATCGATTCCATTAGGCGAAAGAGAAGAAGTAAGACAAACAAAACTCTTACTAGTTGGAGTAAGATCTTAAGCAGAAGAGGACCAATCGAAAACAAAAAAAAACAATTTTACTTTTTCCATTTCTGTGACTAAAATAAATGAAATTTAAATGGCGGATTTACGTACAAACATACTGTAAAATTTGTATGCATATATTTGCATATTTAACATTTTTATTTTTATATTTACTTATATAAAATTCAAATATTTTGATCGCTTTCAAAATACCTAAAATACTCATTTATTTAAGCATATATTTTTGTTGATATTTAGAAGTGATTTATAAGAAAAAAAATATGAAAATAATCATGCCCAGATGCTAGATATGTAAATATATAAAAACTTAATGGTAAGTATTTGTGCTCCCCTTAATTAAAAAAGAACTAAGCATGTAAGTTCGGATTACTGTTTATTTCGAATTACTAACACATTCTAATCGTTTAACAAATTACTTTTCATCAAAACTCAATTTTTTTTTTTTCAGAAAGAGAAGAAGAAGAAAGCAGGATTAATAGACCTGTTATTGGCATACTCATAGAGTCGGCCGCGGCTGGAGAAGATGATGACGGCGACCTCTGCATCGCAGAGAACGGCGAGCTCGTAAGCCTTCTTTAGAAGACCATTACGACGCTTACAGAAGGTGACTTGCCTGTTAGTGGCGTTCTCTATCTTCTTGATGTCTATCTTACCCCTTCCCTTCGTGTTCCTCTCCATGACTCCTGCGTAAATCATGAAAAGTAAAGAATTTTTTTTTTTCAAAAAAAAAAAATCAATCTTTTGAGGTCAAAATCATACCTTTCGAAATAAAAATTCGAACTTGCTGAATCTACGATCGGAATTCTACTTCATGTTCTTCATTTGATCTCTCACTTCCGCCAGCTAGGGCACCTTCTCTCTCTTTCTACTTTGGGAGATGGCGAAATATATGAGCTCAGCCCGCCACGGCCAATGGTTTCAGAGATGATAGGTATGGGCTGTAGAGAGAGAGAGAGAGAGAGAGAGAGATTAGTGATGGGATTTGAATACGACGTAAGGTTAAGTTGCACTCAGGCTAATGAATCCAAAAGAAAAAGGAACAAAAAGGGATGGGGGGGGGGGGGGAGGGGGGAGGGTAAAGGCGGAAGGACCATGTCATTTTGATTTACCCTCTCACACTTGTTTTTGTTGGTTTTATTTTAGGGAAATTTACATATATGGCACATAATTTTAATGTATTTACATATCTCATATCTAAGCTTTCATATAAATATATTCATGAAATTAGTGAGTCTCACTTTAAGAAAATCTAAGTAATGTCATTTTTGATGTGATATTAAAGATTTGAGTTTTATGTGTTTAAATATGAAAGCTTAGGTGTGAGATACCTTTGTATTGTACTGAGATATATAATAGTTTAGGTAAAAATTTCTTGATGTAAAAGTATTTCTTATATATTTTTACAAGGAACTCGTTATGCAATTTATGTTTAGGCTTCTATCATGAATAGACATGGCCATGTTGACATAAATATGACATCATGAATGCGTAATGATAAATTATAAATAATATAGAGCCCTGATCGGTTTGGACAAGCAATGGAGTCATGAAGAGTACACACTCTTTTTCTAATGTGCCAAGGCATTATAAAGGTGACATTAAAAATAAAATTATTTTTAAGAAACTAAAATAGTACCTTAAATCAGATATATAAACTAATTTATTAACTTATAAACACTGTGATTAGTTGTAAATATTTAAAATTTTTAATATAAAATTCTTTTATACCCAATAGCAATATATATATATATATATATAATATATATATATATATCATAAATATCATCTTATCATTGATCAAACTTCTTACACAAATATAATAAATCATAATTCCAATATTACAATGAAAAAAATCATAATTAAAATACGTAATCAACATTTCGTTGATGTTATAATAAAAAAATATTTAAAAAGGTGTCCAAAAAATCTCAAATTCTTCATAAATAAATAAAACAAGCCAAATAATTTGTGCATCGACATGACACGAGAATAAAAGTTGTTACTCGTGATTTTCAACCTCATTATTTGACCATAAAACCCACAGTTTTCCTAATCAGCTGATTAAGTTTAGCATATAAGATTAATTAAGTTGTAATGAAGGTATTAATGATGCTCCAAAAGCATAAATTCTTGTTTAATTAGCTAAAGCCAAAGATTAGCTGCGACAAAACCATGCCAACACGAATAGCCAGCCATGACTAGTCATTGTATGATGCCAACCTCTTCTCCATCTCCAGTACCATCACGAGCTCTTTCATCTTCAACACGTAAGACTTGTCTTCTTGTTGTCTCCAACAAATAATAATTCATTTCCTTTATATATATATATATATATATATATGAACTGTGTCCCTGTGGTTGGAAGCATGCAGGAAAGTGGTTGTTTCCTGTTGTCTTCTTCAATTGGACATGCAAAATATGTGGATTGAAAGTTCATGGCCGGGCTTCGGTTGTCCTGCATGCGCTGCATCTGTGTGTTGTTAAAGCTGTAAATGGGGATTGGCCATGGCTGCCATGCTCGTTTACTTCTTGGCCCTGGTCAAGTTGGTTTTAGGTTTAGAACCTCGGGTTAGCTCAATTGATCCATTTATGTTGAGGTCATTAAGCTTAATTTATTTTAATCACACATTATGTTTTTGTAACTTTATGATTATTAATTCTCTTATTATTATTATTATTATTCTTAAAATTAAATGTGTTAAATTAATCTATGATTCAATTAATTTAATATTATTATATCTTTATTAAAAGCAAATAAGTAGAATTAAAGGTAGCTTCCTGGCACTTAAGATCAATATTAGAGAAGTATTTTAGAGGCCCAGCTAGGGATAACGCCAAGGAGGGGAGAGCCAAAAATGCTTCTAGGGTTTAAGCATCATCATAATCGCCCAAGAAGTGCATTTTATAGTGTGACTCACTTGCTTGAGTTTTAGTTAGGGCTCTAATCGAGCCAAGCCGAGCTAGAGTATATCAGAGTTTGGACTTGGCTTGATGCAATTATAAGTTGTTCTAGTTCGGCTTGAACTTACGTCGAGCTTTCATATATAGTTTAAGTTTGACTTGTTTAAAAGTTTATGTGTTTGAACTTGATTTATATTTTATTTATTTATAACAAATGAACAGAAATTCGAACCAGCTAATAAACGAGCTAAAAATTCAAACGAATATCAAGATTTTCATATAAAAAATGTAAATTTTACAAATCTAAATAAATAAAAAATTGAATAAATCATATAACTTGTATATGATATAAGCAAATAAAAACACTCACATGTTGTCATCTAGTGTCTATAATAGATATATTCTCACAAATATGAATTCTAATATAGAGCAAAAATATTGAAACAAGAGCAAAAAAAATTTAGAAGTATTAGTATTACAAAGAAACTCATAACTTAAAATTATTCATCAATTGTTGAAATAATAGAGAAAAATCAAACATAACAAAAAATGAACAAAAGTGATGTTTACTTTAAAATTTCATCAAGTTAATTTTTAAATAATTAAAAATTAAATAAATATATAAATAAGAATTAATCTAAAAATTTTATTGGTATAATAATATATTACTATTAAATTTATAATTAAATAAATTATAAAAAATTAAATTTTATTTAAATAATATATCGTATGTGATATAAGTCATATTAGAGCTTCATATCAAGTATTTAATAAGTTGCTTGTTGAACAAGTTCTACTATGTGCATGTTTAGTTCATCTAAGATTCGAGTTTTAAAAAATTATTCTAGCTTATTTATTTACTAATTTGAACGAATATGATCTAGCCTTAATTAAGTCAAGTTCAAATTGTTCATCAAGTGTATTTGTTCATTTATAGCCCTAATTTTTATAAATAAATGGTTCAATGAACTAACAAGTCAAGCTTAAACCAATCCCAACTCAACCTATTAGTTCATGAGTTGACTCATTTAAAAATATATTATATAATGCACTTTAAAAAAATATTAATATTAAATAATTTGAATACAAAGTTAATAAAAATTACATTTCAAATGCTTATATAAAATAATTGTGTTAATTATTCTTTATTTTTTCGCTCTTTTCACCTTTTTTTTATCACAATAATTGTTTAAATCAAAATTATCTTCTCTATTTCATAGTAAATAAGTAAGCTCGTGAGCTTACTCAAATATATAGAATTAACCTCATGTTCAAGCTTAAACTCGATCAATTTATCAAACTTAAGCTCTAGCCAAAGATAATTTGACTCAAATAAACTTGTGTACACCCTAACCCACCTTTACCATGTACCTCGTCATCACTTCACCATCCAAAAGAGAACAATCAAAGTAACCCAATACAAACAGAACTAGCACCACAAACATAAATATGATATAGAAGTAAAAACAAAAACGAGCAACATCATTATTTCCATGATTTTAACTAAGAATGATGTACAAGCATGGGGCAAGGAAACTCGAATAAATCCACCATCAAATGTCACATAGTACACATCGACATGGCTTCAAAATAAATCAAATTCTCTTCTCGAAAAACTAACTCAGATAAAATATTACATTATTTGATTTCTATATTGTGAAATAGGATTTCATTATTTTAGTCGAACCATCCAGAAGGAAGAAATATTACGTGTGGATATGATAGATGCGGATAGCTGCGAATTTGGTGATATTACTGTGATATTCACCACAATACCACCATAATAACACCACAATACCATCAATCCATATATATATATGATCCGTACATAATATTACCTCAAACACGAAGGGGAGGAAACTCTCATCATCCTCTTATTACAGGTAACAAATGGCATGTAGGCTCCGGATTTATAGGATAGTAATAGAGTTAGGGCTTCAGTGTCTTAGATTGAATTGCTCATAATATACTATTCTGTAATTTGAAATAACTCCACGCTATATTCATAAATTATGCCTATCTGGAAATATTATTTTCTCAGTATGTTTAATAGTTTCCCATTCAACTTTTTCTTCACGCTGTAAAGAACATCGTTGTTCACCACAGTAAGTTACTAGTTTGCCTTAAAAATGGTCAAATTTTCTCTAGAACATTAGTATAAAGTACATGGTACACATGGAAACTCGTGAAATACGTGTTCAACTATTACGAAAGGGCAAGAAAAGAAGGCAGAATGGAAAAGAATATTGAGGGGAGAGAGAGAGAGAGAGAAGAAGAAAGAAGAAGAAAATTTATTACTGGCTTTTAAGTCTAGAACCAGTAACGAGTTGCCTTTCTTCCATCTTATAACCTGAAATCAAATGAAATAATCAGTCATATTCCGGACAATGTAAGGTTTTAAAGCAGAAATAGCCAAAAAATTGTACTTGAAATGAAATATATTGTTTCAAGCTAAAAGATGTCCTGTTTTAACCATTCAATATGCCAGTGACTACACCATTAATGCAGCTAACATGAAAAGAGAAATAAGAAAGAGAAGGAGCATTACGTGAACAAATTGGAGCGATTACGTGATAATTGGGGCCTCTTCATAGGAGAGATAATGAGATTACGCAAAGTTGCAGCAGGATTGCTGACACCCGCTCCAAATATTGGGCGTGTAGGCCTGCTAGCTCTACCATCTACAGGAACTGCTGCCATCTTTACTGGCGATCCCTCAGAAAGATCAAATGGAGCAGCACTGGAATTCTTCTGTCTCACTGAAGGCCAAATCTCCTCTCTTTGTCCTGGATTTCAAGAGCAAAACTTATCACTATTCTGCAACAGATAAATCAACTGAAAACATTTGTGCAGCTCATAGCTTTTTTTCAGAAACAGTTTGCAGCAGGCTATGAACACTAGCTCTAACAGTTAAAAAGCAAGTTGATTTAACTGAAGAATTCTTAGCTGTTGTGATTGAAGTATACCTTGTCTGGTAGGATCTCTGCCATCCATCATATTGGCCATACTGGAGAACAAGTCTGGCTGAGCTCTTGGAAAGAAATTGCTTGCAGGTTGGATTGCAGAACGCTTCATGGACTCATATTCGCTCCTCAATTGATCGTACATCTCGTCAAGTTTTCTCTTCTGCCTGTTCAATTCCGTTACAGCCTTTTACAGATAATCACGTGTATATGCTACCTATGGGGGAGCCATATATATTAACAAAATACTAACCTGGATTTCTCGGCGTACTTTTCTTGGAGTTCTTGCTTATCTTTTGTTAGACTTGCAATTTCTTGCTCCATCATCTGGCATCGTTTAGACATCTTTTGATAAGCAGTGTGCACTTGCTCCAGCTTTTCGGTGAACTTCTCCTGCATGGATTCGCATTTCTGCTTGCATTGACCAACAATTTTGTTCATTTTGTACTGCATCTCTAGCTCCTTTTGTCCAATGTAGAACATAACACTACGGTATGCACTCTTCATGACTGCAAATTTTGGTGTCAAAGAATGCCAATATGCATATTATCTAGCAAAAAGTTCGGTGGAATTGCTAGGTGTGTTCAGAATTGTTGATATTGCGTAAAAAATGTTGTGAAAATAGTTCAGCAAAGAAAATTGTTGAGATAAACATGAAATTCAAAATAGATGAATCGTTTTGATATCAATCTAATAAAAGTTGGATAAAATATCTGATCGGAATTATTATATGGTTTGCTAACCTAAAAGGGCTATATTATAATTAGCTAAAATTCAGTGGAGATCCAATGAAATATCATGGGCTTGTGTGCATGGACTGATGAAATTGAAAATTCATAAGTGTTGACAGTTGTTTGTAGACTGAAAAAAGAAAAATTTGGAAGAGAAAGAAATCAGTGAGAAAAAGAAAGGTTATAAAAGAGGAAAAAAAGGAAACAAAAAGAAGAAAGAAAAAATGAAGAGAGAGAAAAAGATTGCTCAACTTGAATAAAAATAATTGCTCTAAGAAATCACTTCTATTCATGAAAGACATGGGCTTATATAGAGCCATATAACTTTCTTTACAAAAAAACCCCTAGACTTCTTCTATATTTCTTATTTGCAAATAGAACCCAAAACTATATACAATTCTCAACACTACACCTGAAGATGGGCAAAGTTTATTTGAGGCAAGCTTATTCAATGTATAAGTTGTCACTATTGTATGAGAAAGTGTGTTAGTCTTGTGGAGCAAAACTACCTTGGGAAGACCGAGAACCCGGCGCTTAGGCGTCGGGCTTGGGCGTTGCTTCTGAAGGGGGCATTTGTACGCCCATGTTTAGGCCTTCAACAAAGAAGTAGGCGCCTTTGCGCCCCCCTTGAGCGCCCAAGCGTCCAACTATGTTGGGCACGATTATGCTTCTCGAGGGACGAACGTTTTTGGCTCGGAACAGTTGGTACGCAAAATTTCTAATTTAAGCCACTTTCAAGAGCGTTTCTTTAAGACTTCCTCGGTTGTTCTTCAACAAGTTCCCGGTGAATGAGAGAGTTGGAGAGGTGGATTTCTGAGATCTCGGCATGTGTTGTTCGCGTCGGATCGGAGTAGAAAGATTGTGAAGCGTCCTATAAGTTTCTTTGTGTGAATGTAGAGAAAAAACTTGTGTGAACTCTTTGTAAAACTATTTGATTTTCATAGTGAATTTGTAGTGGTGTGGCTCAGTGTTTTTTTCCCACTCTCGGGTTCTTCCACGTAAAATTCTCGTGTGTTTTTCTGATTGTTTTGATTTTGCTTAAGTGCTTAAATTTATTGTTCTGATTTTCTCGAATCCTATGATCATATTCCACGGTGAAACAAGAAGGAAATTTTTCCAAACTAATTTCTCCCAATAAACTAGTATCAGAGCAGGGATCGCTGTGAATGGGAACAATGGCAAAAGAAGTAAGGTTCAAGGTGGAGAAGTTCAATGGGACGAACTTTATTCTGAAAGATGCAGGTGAATGGGATCAACGACATTGAGTTTGATCATGTTAACCCTTTCCTCATTTGTTACGTTCAAAATTGTGAATGAGAAAATTGGGCACGATTCTGCTTCCTAAGAGACGGGCGTTGTTGCCCCATAGCAGTTGGTATGCAAAATTTATACTTTTAAGTCAATTTTGAGCGGTGTATATTTAAGACTTCTTCGGGTGTTCTTCAGCAAGTTCCTAGTAAAGGAGAGGAGTTAGAGAGAAGGATTTCTGGGATCTCGGCGTGTGTTGTTCATGTCGAATCGGAGAAGAAAGATTGTGAAGCGTCCTATAAGTTTCTTCGTGTGAGTGTGGAGAAAAAACTTGTGCGAGTCCTTTGTAAAACTATCTGATTTTCATAGTGAATTTATAGTGGTGTGGCTATGTGGTTTTTTCTTGTTCTCGGATTTTTCCAAGTAAAATTCTAGTGTGTTTTTCTGGTTGTTTTGATTTTGTTTATGTGCTTAAATTTATTGTCCCGATTTTCTCGAATCCTGTGATTCAATTTTGCGGTGAAACTAAGAGATTTTTTTGGAGTAGTTTCTCCCAACAGTGTGGAGTGCCAAAAGTGATAATATATAGGCATGATGATGGATTTATTATGAGGGCATGTAAAGAAATTCAAGAAAGTTGGGGTACAAAGTTTACTTTCAGTATAGCTTATCATACTCAAGCATATAAGCAATCTAAAAAAGTTATTGAAAATTTGAAGAACCTATAGAGATTGTATGCCATTGGCTTTTGCAGGAATTAGGACCATTTGTCATTGATCGAATTTATGTATAAGAATAGTTACAAGTCCAATATTAGGATAGCATCTTATGATTGCATGAAAGAAAACACAAAACAACCTTAAGTTGGGAACAAAAATATGTGAGTAACATAGCTCATTGCTGAGACCACAAACTAAAATAATAATAATAAGTTGTTTTTGAGATTTTGAAAACAAATCAAAATAGAAAAAATCAATATTATGGTCCAAAGTATTGAGAAATGATGTTTGAAGTAGGAGGCCAATGGCCATGTTAAGTACAACCATTGAAGGAAGATTTGGTTGAGAAGGTAAGCTAAGTCCAAGGTAAATTAAGTGTTTCAATGTCATTTATAAAGCAGAATGAGTAGCTTAAGGGTTGAAGTGGTGTGGCCTATGAGTGAAGGAAGTAAATTTGGGAGAGAAGGTAAGCTATGCACAAGTAGAATAAGTACTTCAATATCATTTATAAAGCAGAATGAGTAGCTTAAGGGTTGAAACGATGTGACATATGAGAAAAGTTATACAATGTTTCCACATATCATCACTAAGCAAGTGGCTAACATATATAATTAGATGAATAAAAAAGGTTTAGATTGATATATGTCTTACGGGGAAGAACTTAAAAGTTTATTGGCATACGATGTCAAAGAACTCTAAAATAAAATGATTCACTATGTGAAGGTTTCGTGGAAGGATAAAATTAATCCAGAGGCCACATATCATTCTAATACGGGAAACTTATGTAACTAATTGAATAACAAAGGTAGTTGTTGATATAAATCATAATCCATCTTAATAATGGAAAAGGAATTTATATTTCTTGATCTTTAATTTTACAATGAAGACTGATATTTATACAAGAGGTATAAGACTAGAATAGGAAAGAAAAGTTGTCACATTCTAAAAATAAGAGCTAAAAAATTTGTTTATTTACATCCTAAAATTTTGCCTATAGAATCAAGGCTATTAATGACATTGATTCCTATAATCACGTTAACACCCCCCTCAAACTCATGATAAAATAATGGATGTCAACTTGAGTTTGTTCAATAGATCTTGAAAACGCGTGGAAGGACGAGTTTTGGTGAAGATATCAGCTGCTTGGTTAGCAGAGGAGACGGGAATTAAAAGTATAGTGACCTGAGTAACATGGTGACTAACAAAGTAACAATCAATTTCAATGTGTTTGGTATGCTCATGAAAAACGTCATTATGAGAGATATGTATAACACTTTTATTATCACAATGAAGCATAGTAGCAAAAGCTTGTTTGACACCCATATCAGATAACAACCAGCGTAACCAAAATATTTCAGATGTGGCATCAACTAGAGCACGATACGCAGATTTTGTGTTGGAACGAGCAACGACTGTTTGATTTTTGCTACGCCAAGAGATAAGAGAATCTCTTAAGAGTAAACAATAACCAGCGGTAGAACGACAGTTTGTAGGATCACTATCCCAATCAGCATCAGAGTAGTCAGATAACACCAAAGAAGAGCGAGCAGAAAAATGTAGACTATGAAAAAGAGTGTCTTTAATATATCGAAGTATCCGAAGAACTGCAGAAAAATGTGATGATCGAGGGGCAGACAAGAACTATGAGACTAAGTGAACTGCATGTGAGATATCAGGTCGAATAACAGTGAGATAAACAAAACTACCAACAAGTTGTCGATATAAAGTAGGATCATCAAGAGGAGTGTCATCGAAAGGAGTAAGTTTGTAATTGAGTTCCGAGGGAGTTGATATAGTTTTACTATCAGTAATGCCCGCACGAGAAAATAGATCAGATGTATACTTAGCTTGAGAAAAATAATAACCTTCAGAAGTATGAGAAACTTTAAGACCTAAAAAATAACTGAGATTGTCAAGCTCCTTCATTTCAAAACATTGACTGAGAAAAGGTTATTATTCGGAGATACCGAATATATCATTACCTGTTGTTATCAAATCATCAGCATAAAGTATCAGAAGTACAATAACATAGTCAGTTCGACGAACGCACGATATTGAATCATGTGGACTAGAGATAAAGTAAAGTTGAGCAAGAGTAGAACTAAATTTGGCAAACTAGGCTCGGGGAGCTTGTTTTAATCCATACAAAGCTCGTCAGAGCTTGTAGACTTTATGAGAAGAATGATAACCAGGGGTGATGCATATACACCACTTCTAACAAATTAACACGGAGGAAAACATTTTTGACATCCATCTAGAGAAGTTTCCATTTATGAACTGCAACAATAGCTAATAGACTACGAACTGATGTTTATCAAGAAGCTGAAGCAAAAGTTTCTTCACAATGTATCCCATATTCTTGAGTATAACCTTTGGCTACTAAGTGAGTTTTATAGTGCTCAACAGACCCATCAGAACGAGTCTTGATTTATGAATCTATATACACCAATAGGGGTCTTATGAGGAGGAAGATCGACTAAGTCCCAAGTATCAGTTTTCTCCAAATCCTGAAGTTCTTCAGACATAGCTTGCTGCCAAAGCGGGTCAATACTTGCCTCACAATAAGAGCGATGCTCATGAAGGGTTGCAATAGCAGAATAACAATGGAAATCAGTAAGTTAATGCGGAGTTTCTCTTACCCGGGTAGAATGACGAAGAGTGGTGTCAAAGGTAGGTGGAGGTGTAGGTGCAGAACCAGCCGCTAGAGCAGAATCAATAGAAGCAGATGTGAAAGGCCTAAATTGAGTATATCAGACTTACCTTTGTCAAGACTTTGAAATAACTCAATTGAGATTCAATATTGGCAGAGTT